ACCCGGCGACCAATCCGGCGACGCGAGTCATGAGTTTCGTTGAGGAGTCCTCGGGGAGTGTTCTTGACGTGAGACGACAAGATGGTGGATGTGTCATGTGTCTGGATGTGCTGGAGCATATTGCGACGTGGGTCCGAGAAAGATCGAAAAGGAGTACGAAATCTCCTTTCGAGGAGTCAAAAGATGGCAATGAAGAAGCCAGAATGTTAGAGGAGGTAAGATCAGCAATGGGAGGTTGTCGGCCGGGCTGACGATGTTTGACATGATCAGAATGTTCTAAGTGCGTCAGCTCGTCTGATCTTTCGTGGACTGGAGGCGGATGAGAAAATGATCGGGCTGTGGAGGATGAAGCTATGACGGCTGAATTTGACGGAGGATGATTCATACACTTACGAAGTAGTTCGTTTGTCCATCGTGTAAAATAACTTGTGTCGTTCGAATGACGGTCGTGTACGATATTGATCTTCAACTTGATGGGTTTATCTGACTGAAAAGTATAAGTGAGAGCTTAACGCTAGTGATGTAATCACATACCCTGGAGGGACAAGATGTAGAAACCGCCGTGCAGGTCACAATCACGCCTCGAGACACAGACTTGGGACAGGCCCACAGAGCCATAGACGAGGCGCAGCGCATGGGACCCGAATGAGGAGAGATGAAAGTGTTTTCTCATCGTAGCAATGAACGAGTCATATATAAAGATTCAGGGACAGTCCCAGAATTCCACAATATACGCATTCGCAAGGGCATTCAAGTTCTGTGCCAGTAGGTGCCAGTCCGTAGTCTAGCTTGTGCAAAAGCTTCAAGTCGAAATTCCACCAAGAACTTGAATATCAGATACCCCAGAGGTAACACCGGACAGTAAGGCTGAGCATCCAAAGCCAGAGGACCGGTACAGACATTGAGCATCGTGCGCGAACGGGAGGATGAGCTGAATTGAAACTCCGATCGTGTGTTCTCTTACTTGCACTTCTTGACTCTTTGCCTTGCTCTTTGCCTGACAATGTATTTCTGATCACATTCGAATCCCCTTCAACATCTCCTCGGCTCAATGATACTACTACACGGCGATACGACGTCCTTCGAGCTCCCGCACTTCTATGTCCTCGAAGAAGGTACAAAACATTGATCGTCAACATTTCTTCATTGCGCTCCAAAAGTGCTGGCGAATTGATGCATCTAATCAGATCCAAGCCAACGATCCTCAAATTACATGATCTCTCAATGATACATAACAATACCTCTCGGCCCAAATGCTCCAACAAACACGACGCGTTTTCCATATCCCCCGCTTTCTACGTCTCTGAGTCCATCAACAACTCTTCATCAACTGAACAGGCAACCCCGGATCCCCCTCCTCCCATCAATCTTCACTGTGACAACCCAATCCGCACTCTCCCTTCAACACTCTCGGTTCCCGAACCCACTCTCCCTTAGCGACATCCACGTCCACCCAGTTCTTCGGGTCCGCCTCTCCGAGAATTGTTCCGAGCATCGCGTGCTGTGATTTAATCCATGATATTGGGAGAAGGGATTGAGACCCGATGAAGAGGTGGAGAGGAAGAGGAAGAGGCCTGGGAGACAACACGTTTAGATGTATAGGATGGCTCTTAATGCTCTCGGCCGATCGTACTCAGTCGCGTATTCCTCTTCTTCGTCTCGTCGCAGGGCATGCCTCACGGTTAATCGTCCAATACAAGTTCCCACAAGTGGAACTCGAATGGATTAAGATGTGCCGAGAGGATAAGTCCGAATATTTGAGACCTCTTGAAGAAGAGATGCCAGACTAGAAAAACATTAGGCATGACGTCTGATATCCCAGGATAAACTGAGGGATAGGGACGGTGAAGAGGCCATTGCTTGAAACGACAGCATTCAAGTTCGAGCTTGAGTTGAATGAGTGCGAGCCGAGCGGAAAGTTGCCGGTGAAGCGGAAACATCGCTAGCCGAGCCGTCCCTGACAACCGTGATTTCAGGCTCAGACGACGCTTATCGGCTACTCCTCATCGACTTTCGATCTGCCAGTCATTTTGAGCACGCTCTGCTCAATTCCTGCTGCATTCAAACCCCTTCACTATTGCCTGGAAATGCGTCCAACAATAATCCCGTTCAACGGTTTCAATTCCAGCTCCGGAATACGCACATTCGCCTACAAATAATTTTCGGAACCCAGAAACCGTCTCTCCATTCTCTTCCCTCTCCCCCCCCCCCACCACCACCACCAACAACACTACAGCTGATGCCCGAGATCAGTCTCCTGTTCACAGCCACTTCCTCGCAAAAAGTCTGGTAGCATCAGCAATTCCACGTGATGAAATTTCCACGTGGGTCGTGGTCGGTATTCTCTCTCCAGCAACACGGTTAGTGTTGTGGTTGGCTGAGGGGCCGATCCCCAGCAGGGTGGGGGGTGCGCTTTAATATTTTGGGTAAGACGTTGTTAAAGGGATTTGGAATTTTGGAGGAAGCCTCTGGGAGGGGAGGAAGCGCAGTTGGTTACTCTGGCTTAGTGAGAAAACACCAGCTATTCGGATAACGTTGTGGATGGCTGAGGGGACAATCGCGTATATTATCGGGAAGCAATACCATCTTCAGGTCGGTCTATCGAGGGCGAAGGAGGAGCGTCGAGCGTTAGGTCAGTGTCTCGTTACCTATTATTTTGGCGTTGTGAATTCTGATTCATATGCTCCAGTGCATCACCGTGACTCTTTGTTATTCGTGATATTGTATCGTCCCGTGGATGTTCAAAATCCGGTCCGTCCGCTTCACTCGATGCCCATATATACCAAGTGAGTACTATCATCGTGCCGTCCCCTATTCATTCAAGTTCGCTAATCAGTGCACAGTTATTGGCTTCCTCCTCCTCATGAACTCACCTGTGCCCAGGCTCTGTCATTAGCGAGGGCTGCTCATAATCATGTCCAAGGCCCTCCGGGACACGTGCATATTGTCGCCCTCTTGTGCTAGTGGCATGTGAGACCGAACCCGTCGTACTCGGGCTATGACGTATTCATACAGAGATCCAAGCAGAACTCCCAGGATCATTCCGTAACAGATCCATTCGCTTCAAGCTGGAAGCCAAGCTCAGCAGCCGAATCGTCAATGTTGGCTTTAGACAGAAGCTCCAGACGTATATCGCAATCGGAGACATGAACTCCATATGAAACAGCAGTAACTCCAGGAACTACAGTTCAGTATCCAAAGCTAGAGGACCGGTACTGCCGTCGAGCGTCGTAGGCGAATGGGAGGATGATCTGAATTAAAACTTCGCCCGCACACTCTTCCTCGATGAGAATATTTACCTGATCATACTCGACCTCGTTCATCAGCTCCTCTGCTCCACGATAAGAATGTGCATCGGGTTTCAAGCCGCTGAACCTATATATATTTGAAAAAGGTACAAAAATCGTTCGTCCGCTTCGCACCCTCATCCCGCAGCAAAAGTGCTAGTCAATTACATTTGGTTACATTCAAAGCGACGGTCTAAATAATAAATGTTCTCAATATCGTATAAAGCTACTCCTCTTTGCCCGATTCTCTCACAAACACGACACAGTTCTTCTCTACTTTCTACGTCTCCGGATCCATCAAAACCTCTTCATCAACAGGCAACCTCGGATCACCCTCCTCGCCATCACACCTCGCCACAACCCATTCCGCACACTCCCCCTCAAGAGCCCTCGGCTCCCAAACCCGCGCTCCCTTAGCATTATCCACTTCCACCCATTTCTTCATCTCTGCTTCACCCAAGATTGTTCGGAGCATCGCATGATGCGATATTATCCATGATCTGGGAGGGAGAGCTTGATAGGTTTTTTCGCCTGAGGAGATGATCAGGAGGAGGCCTGGGAGGCAGCACATTAGGATGTATAGGACATCCCTCAATGGTCTCGGCTCATCATCTTCCGATTCTTCGCCTCCACTGGTACTGTTACGGAGGCAATGACGCATGGCCAATTGTCCGAACACAATTTCCCACCAGTGAAATTCGAAGGGATTGAGATGTGCCGAGAGGATAGGTTTGAACGTCGTAGGAAGATAAAATGCAGCAGGAATTTTTGGTCCGAGTCCGAACGCACGGATTCGGTGAAGACTGCTGTCACGATGGGCTGGGAATATTGATTGGAAGGTGTGAGTGATGTAGAAGAGCCAGGGTTGTTTCTCTAGTCTATCGCTCATCGGTACGCGTTGTCCTTGATGAGTCTTCAACTCGTCTATCCAGCAAGACTTCTTCGGCGTGGAGGAACCACTCGCGGAAGAAATCGGTATCCCGTCTATCAAAGATTGGACCACGGCCTGGATAAACGGTATCGCGCGTGCATAACGGAATTCGGCATCTTTGATGAGTTTGGAAGGAGGTGGTGGGAGTTCGCGGCGGTGGGATAGGAGGGTTGAATATTGGGCTATGAAATATGGTTTTGAGAGGGAGGTCAATTTGATTTCGGAAGGCATGATCGTTCGTCTGATTTCACCATTAAGATTATCATCGACATCCGAGTTAGAAGGACGAAGTGAATGAGGGTCAAATGTGTACCTATGAACGTAGGTTGTCGTACTTGTCTTCGTACTTTTGGATCCGGGGTCGGGATTCATCGATTTTGGGTCGTTTGAGCTTGAGGGCGAGGAATGGGTCATGGAACGATTTCGCAAGAAGAGAATGGGACATTTGTTGCCAACTCAAGCTCGGTTTTATATATGAACGGAGAGGATGTGGCATGTGCCACTGTACTTCCGATCCTGCCACTCGGACTCAAAGCCACGGCGATAAACTGTCATAAACATACCTACAAATCCATACAACAAAGCTAGAGCAGGTAGGTCCGTGATGGTACTTCGGATCCATCTTGATAGGGCATGTACTTTTGCATTTACAATGAAACATTACTAGTACTAGTAATGATGTCGAGGTTGACACACTTGGCATGACATTGAGAGGCAACTCGAGCATGACGCAGATTCCTCAGTACTAATTATGATGGTATAGAAAGAGCACTGGTCATCTGGCTTAAGTGGTTTAGTGGTAAAATCGCTGCTTGCCATGCAGTGGCCCCGTGTTCGATTCACGGCTTAAGCATGTTTTGTCTGTCGTGTTTCCTTTTTTATTCCTTCGGTTGGATCTAGAACTTGTAGAATCTCAAAGAATATTCGTCCAATAGAAGGAAGGTAATTGCCGACGATCGGACAGATCGGCGTTCGCGCAATCGGGTCGGGCGACGTTACCCTCGAGCCCATTCTTTCTTTCCGCAACCGTCGTCATCGCACACTTTCATTTTCTTTCCCTCTGCACACCGACCTTTATTTCCTTCGAAGATGGACGCGCGTCTTCGGCGAGTTAACAAAGAAATTGCAGGCATGTGGCTTTTATTCGCACGACGGCCTGGCTGACGACGAAGGGAGCAGATTGCAAGAATGATAAAACTTCGAATATCGCGATCGACTTGATCGATGATAATCCATTCCATCTGCGAGGCAGCTTTCCTGGACCTGAAGATACACCATACCAAGGCGGGCATTTTGAAGTCGTACGTCGCCCACTACTCATCTCATGCCACCTCACTAATCACGTCCTCACTCCTTGCGACCTATTAGGATATCGTGATTCCGGACTCGTATCCTTTTCAACCCGTGAAGATGAAGTTCATCACGAAAGTTTACCATCCAAATGTCTCATCGGCGTCAGGAGCAATTTGTCTCGACATTCTCAAGGACGCATGGTCCCCCGTCCTCACCCTTAAATCCACCCTGATCAGCCTCCAAAGCCTCCTCTGCAGTCCAGAGCCGAACGATCCTCAAGATGCTGAGGTTGCGAAACACTTCATGATGAGCCGGAGTAGCTTCGATGATACCGCCAGGTCCGTCTTCTCTTCTTTCCATCGCCACCGGAGATAGCTGAGAAGACTTAAGATATTGGGCTCACATCTACGCTGGAGCACCTTCACCGAAAGAGGGAGATAGTGGAAAAGGAAAGGCTGTTCGAGATGAGATTGCCATCGCTGGATTGCAACACGCTCATGTTGAGCAATTCGAAAGCCTTGGATTCGATCGAACCCAAGTAGTACGTCCTCTCTTCTAACCCCCCGTATATATCCCCATCACTAATTGATCGACTCAGATCGATGTTCTTCGACGTCTGAATTATCGCGGTGCTAACATCGCAAAAATTCCAGACGATCGCATCGTCGAGGAGTTATTGAAGTGATCCTGTATCCTCTACCTGTTGTCGGTCCTGTACGCGTTTTTGTAATTCAATTGCATCGCTTTGTTATCCTCCCATATCCCTATCTTCTATATTTTGCCGGTATTTGAGGTGTGCCTGGTTGGCGATGCTGTGAAAGCAAGAGATGCCGTTGCCGCTTACGGAAGAAAGCTGGAGCTGCGGCTCGGTGGCTGTGCTGGCTGCGAGGGCGTCACATCACGAGCAACGGTTCCTGCACTCGCTATAAGCCCTCGTTCTCCATTCGCCCATCCACCTTTTGAAGACCACGACCAGCTCACGAGCAACGCCATGAGCAGATACCCAGAAGTACGTTTTTGCGTCGACTAGCTATGACTCAAGAATCGCTGCTAAACATGATGCTTTATAGCCTGATAGAGGAGGCTATCACGACCCTTACGGATACCCACAACAGCAAGAGCCTTATCCTTCCAGTTCATCAACGTACGCTACTGCCTATAGTGGTCCAAGCCACCCGAACGACCCTTTCGCAAATCCACCAACACCTGGCCCTGCTCAACAGTCTTACTATCCCGCCCCACCCCAGCATCCAGCACACACACCTGATCCATATTATCCAAATCCTGCGCCAGCAGCAGATTACCTCAATCCTCGGTATAATCCTCAACAAGCAGGACTGCACAGTCCAGGTCCTCAATATGAACCTGAGACTCATTATCCAGATGTCGATGACGATTCGTCAGGACATGTTCCTTTGATGCCTGGTCGACAGATGGGTGGAGGTGGCGGTGGGGATTATTACCCTCCACCAGGGAGTAGTGCGGGGACGCCTAGACCTGGGTTTGGGCGGGGTGGCCCTCCAGGAGGTTATGATGACGATGATGCTGCGAGCTCGAATAATATTCGATACGGGAGGATACCCCAGCGGGTTCCTCGACGATATAAAACTATCAAACGCGTTGAGTACGTCTTCCTCCTACCCTTATGATGTGCGTGGCACTGAGAGCGAGATAGGCTGTTCCACGGCAATTACGTCTACGATGCGCCCGTACCAACGAAGCTCCTGGAGAGGTCTACGCAACGTACCGAAAGAGAATTCAACTTCCTTCGATATACGGGAGCAACATGCGATCCTAACGAATTCAAGAATGAAGGCTTCACACTGCGTCAAGTCCTCTACGACCCGCCTCGCCGAACAGAGCTCTTCATTGTGATGACGATGTACAACGAAGACGAGGAGTTGTTCTGCCGGACGATGCATGGCGTCATGAAGAACATCGCTCACTTGTGTACGAGAGAACGAAGTAAGACTTGGGGGAAAGATGGGTGGAAGAAAGTGGTTGTGTGTATCGTTAGTGATGGACGAGGGAAGATCAATTCGAGGACGCTGAGCGTTATCGCTGCCATGGGCGCGTATCAAGATGGGATTGCGAAGAATGAGGTCAATAAGAAACCGGTCACCGCGCATATATACGAGTATACGACTCAAGGTGTGTACTCGGTACTCCCGTGTCAATCCTTCTATACCGAGGCTAATGCGGATCGGCGCAGTATCGCTAACACCATCCATGAAATTTGAGGGTGCGGAGAAGGGTATTGTCCCTGTGCAAATTATATTCTGTCTCAAAGAGAAGAATCAGAAGAAGGTCATTCCTCCCAGCAAATCCCTTACCGTCACCGACTCACAAAGTTCCGTCAATGACAGATCAACTCTCACCGATGGTTCTTCAACGCTTTCGGACCCGTCCTCCAACCGAATGTCTGTATCCTCCTCGACGTAGGAACCCAGCCCGGCCCTACCTCCATCTACCATCTCTGGAAAGCCTTCGATATCAATTCAAACGTCGGCGGTGCATGTGGCGAAATTGTCGCTCTCAAGGGCAAATACGGACAGAACTTACTCAATCCACTCGTCGCGGCCCAGAATTTCGAATACAAGATGGTCAGTCTTCTTCGCTAATTCTTCAACACTAGTTGACGTGGAACAGAGTAATATCTTGGATAAACCACTGGAGAGTGTGTTTGGATATATCACCGTCCTTCCGGGTGCCTTCAGCGCGTATCGGTACATCGCCCTGCAGAACGACGCGCAAGGCGAAGGACCCCTGCAAAAATATTTCCTCGGAGAGAAAATGGTGAGCCTCCGTTCCAAGCTTCCCACGCGCTTCTGATCGGATCCATAGCACGGCGCCGGAGCGGACATATTCACTGCTAACATGTACCTTGCCGAAGATCGAGTGAGTTTCGACGAAATTCTAGCACGCTCGGGCTTCGTTGAACTTGGCCTAGATTCTTTGCTGGGAGCTAGTCTCGAAACGCAAAGCCTCCTGGATTCTACACTACGTCAAATCCGCCTACGCCGTAACCGACGTCCCCGATCAAGTCCCCGAATTAATCTCGCAACGTCGGCGATGGCTCAACGGGTCCTTCTTCGCCGCCATCCACTCTACCGTCAAATTCGCCTACATATATCGGTCCTCCCACTCCTTCTGGCGGAAGTTCTGGATCCATGTCGAAATGGTGTATCAGACTTACAACCTGTTCTTCGCGTGGTTCAGTCTGGGGAACTATTATATTGCATTTATTATTCTTAGTCAGGCCATGGAGAGTGAACTTACGTTCATGAGGATTCCCAATTTGATCTTCCAGTATCTGTATTTGGGGCTTCTGACAATGTGTTTCTTGCTTTCGATGGGGAATCGACCGCAGGGGTACGTCTTTTCCATCCGCATTCCATTCCGAAAGCTGATGAAATCCTAGGGCAAAGCTTCAGTATACCCTCGCGATGATCGGATTCGCCTTTATCACTGTGTATATGACAGTACGTCCACACTCTTCGTCTCGCGAGAATAAGCGCTCATGACATCAAGTTCTCGGCATTCTGGCTCGCGTTCAAGGGGGCACAAGAAATTGCGCATGAGCAGAACTCGGGGCTCACGTTCAGCGATATCTTCACGAATGTCAAATTCGGCGCTATTGTGCTCAGTTTATTGAGTACATTGGGACTGTATATCCTCGCTTCACTCCTCTTCGTAAGTTGAATTCATGCAAAGCCGGGAGTTGGAGTATCGACTGACGTGATATCCGACAGTTCGAACCATGGCACATGATAACGAGCTTCATACAATATCTTCTGATGGCTCCGAGTTATATTTCCGTGTTAAACGTCTATGCGGTACGTCCTCCTTCGGTGAAACCGTCGATAGCGATCCGATTATCTTTGACAGTTCTCGAACGTACACGACGTATCATGGGGAACGAAAGGCGACAACAAGCCAGCGAGCGATCTCGGCTCCGCCAACGCTGCAAAGGGCAAAGAAGGCGACAAGAATACTGTCGACGCGGTCGTCCCAACAGATCCCGCGGATATCAACGCTGCATACGACGATGCTTTGCACGTTATCAATACGAAGCCGGAGAAAGTCGAGGCGAAGGTGGATGCGAAGACTGTTGAGGAAGATTATTATAAGAGTTTCAGGACTAAGTACGGCTTCGCGTTACACTCTTATCGTGGCGCTGACTGTGTTATCCCAGTGTGCTGCTGGCATGGACACTTTCGAATGTGAGTTTATATTTGTATGTCGAGTGTGGGAAGGGAGATTGACGCGTGTTATGACGTAGGGTCTTTTGGCGGCTGTGATCACGTACGTATTCTGTTCCTTGTCCCTCTTTCTCATGCCTATCCCTATCCCGATCCGTTATCTATTTCTATCTCCCCACTCGACTACTCAATTCCCCATTGCTTCGGCGCATCTCGGCGTGTCGAGGAACTTCTTTCATTCTACCTTTTTGAGATTCGTTCTTCCATCCCTTCCTATATTATCAATATCTTTTATCCTTGTCGTCAATCGGACATTCTCGAACTGACGCATGTGCCATTCTAGAACCGCAGCAACGAA